CATGAGAACAAGTGATTTGCAAGAAAAGTTTGTCTTACATTCAAAGTTCAGGGATTTTGGTCGTTTCTTAACAGTTGGCATGAGACTTTATAGTAATATTAAGAAAATGCAGTGATAGCAGCAAAACCTGATACTCTTTTTGTGTCCTCCTGGGGTTACACAAACTCCAGAAGGCCATGGAACATGGCTTGACAGCAGGACAGTTTATACAGTGAAGTCTCTTAAATGATGTTCCCCAGAATCTGATTGGGAAATAAATAGTAATATGCTTACTCCGTATGCTTGCTTTGCTGCCAGGCATGACAGTCATTCCTTCTCAGAGTATAAAGTGGTGTGTGCATTGCCAGGCACAGCAGGCTAATAATATTCTATGGAAAGCTAAGTTTCTGAGTTTCATTAACTGTCTCTGATTTTATTAATTTCTTTTGTTTTTCTAGTCATTGGTAATAACTTAAATTGCATCCTAGTATTTCAAGATTTTGAGATGTTTTGTGAGAATCCAAAGAAAAATGCGTAAGCACTGTAGTAAGAATCAGTCCAAAGACCAAGAAATAGGAATAGGAATATTTCTACTCTAATGGAAAATGAACATGGTGGAGTTTTGCTAATTACCTGTACACAGACGTTCCATGTTAAAGGAAAAAGCCTGAAAGCTCACACTGAGCTTATTGGTATAATGGGTAATTTGCAGGATGTCAAGTTAACATAGAAGATTTCAGTATTTTGAATAGTAATGATTAATGTAAATATCCTGGGTTTAATTTCTAATAGTATAAATACAATGCTCGAGTAACTAATACAAATAGCAAAAGCTAAGTAAAAAGCTTTTGCTCCTTAAGAAAATACATTTTCCATGCAGCCTAATTTAAGAGTCTGATTCCCATTCATTATGTTGTCAGAGTAAGTGGTTCAGGCAGTAGAATGTTTAAATCAGTTGTAGGAAAAGATTTTTTAAACATTGCTTTAATCTCTAGGTATTTAGAAGCTAAATATTTAAGCAGCCACTAGTCCTAATGTTTGAATTTTTAACTACCATTAAACTTCAAAAGACAAAGTTACAAGCTCCAGTCATAAATTTGAGCTTGTGATGCATCCTAAACCCAACTCCACTGTGATGAAGTTTCTATACAAACTGCAGATAATCAGCACGCAATGTGAGTATTTAACTACCTCAAAAAAGTGTTATGAAAAAAAAAGTATGTTTCATGTTGTTCTAATCAAACATATTTAAAAAGAGAAAATAACAAGAACGTATAAAATAATACACTCGCTATGATTATGAAATAGTCATCCAAAACACTCTACAGAGTCAGCATTATAGTATGTCTGTCTCCATTATTACCTTATACTATTTTTATTTCTCGGCATTTTTCTCCCCCCAGCAACATGATGATAGGAAAGGTTTCTCGTCTCAGATGGGCTAAAATGGAAATCCAATCTAATAAACCCCCAGAAATTCAAACAAACTTTACTATTGAGCAAAAATGTACATGTAAAGAAAAAGTTATATCCCAAGCAATAAAATAATGATTTAATCTGTTAAAAATACCTGATATAAAGTAACTGTTTAGGAAACTAATTGAATTCCCAGATGAGTGAAATGGAGGACACGACTTAATTGCTGTGCAAGATTGAAGAGATCTGTTCTACCTGTAGTGGGGTAGCTACTGATTTTGAATCTGTGCTGGTGTGATTTACCTAGTTCCTAGCTTTCTTGAAGGTGATCAGAGTAAATGAAAGTTTATTAGCTGTAAGAGACAAACTGTTATAAATCACTATGGAACCTGGGACATCACCTTGCGACATGTTAGACTCCACAGTAGTGGAGAGGGGAGCTTCTTGCCCTGTCTGGATAAGTGGAAGAGGTAGAAAATGACATGATTCCTTGAGATGATGAAGGACACAGGCACAAGAAGGTAGATGAGCTCTTTTCAGTGAGCAGAAAGAGGAGCAGTCAAGCGAGTTTGTGTAGGTTGGATGGTGTGTCCAGTGAGGAGGCGTTATACTCGGATATAACAGCACCTGGGAGTTACACATGGTGTTAGTGACGACGAGCCAGAGAAACCCAATTTGACTGCAGTTCTCTGAGTGAGTTGGCAGAAAGTCCATTTGTTAGAAAAGAAACATCTTTTTACAAGTAAAAATGAGCAAATTTAGTTTGGGCATAATTGAGAAACAATGATTATAGAATTCCACAATGCCACTTTTCTATACCATCACTGTTCACAGAAAACTGCGCTCAAAAAAAAGTTGAAAAACTCTTTTCCCAAGCTGTGAACATGTTTTTTTCATGCTTCCGTAGCAAAAGCTCCCTGCCAATTTATCAAACCTTGGAGAAAAAACAGAGACCAGATTATAACTAGCGTTATCACCATGAACTGTGATTTTGAGACAGTAAAAAATGACATTATTTTTTTATAATTTCTTAGATCAAGGATTTCAGAGTGCTTTCAGGAAGTCAAGAAAATGGCTGCTTGAAGGAGGCTTGTGATGGTTGTAGAGTGTGCGGGCTGTAGGCCTAGAGGCGTGTTTTCTGTAAGCTATTACCAGTACTCAAGTGAGATGGCAACTTTAGGGGTGTAAAGGTAGGGATGAAATTTAAATTAAAAAATAAACACTCTCATGAATTTTAGTACACCACACATGCAACTGCCCCAACTGTATGCATTCGTAATTTTACAGTATTTTCTTTTGAGGTATTACTTGGTCCTCGAACGGTGAATTACGGGTACGGCGGTGAGGGCCTGCATCTGCTCACGCTCACCTCGGGCTGGAATCGCTGGCAGGAAACCCTGCGGGGCTCAGCGAGGCTGCGGAGCTCCCACCTTCCTTAGCAGACAGAAAAATGTTATGTGCAATCTCAGCACCTGTTTCTTCTTTGAGAAGCAGTATATTTTCCACATATCTCTTTAAATATGAGTAAGAAGGGTTGGGGTTTTTATTGGGGAATAGTTTGTTTAATAGTTTTACATTTTTTGCAAGTATATTCAGTTTGCTTCATGTAAAATACGCAGATGTTCTCTTTTGTAATTGTGGTTACAATGTCCACAGTGTTGCGGAAATGATTGCAGTTTTTTTAGCTAAAAAAAAATTAGTCCGCCTTGCGATTGATTTGTAGTTCTAACTTGCAAACATAACTTTTCAGAGCCAGGACTGCTGCTTTTCTTTTAAGCTGCTGCTATGAGAGTCCTAGAACTTATTTCACAGAAACTATAAAGTCATTCAAGGCCCTGAAAGATCTTGCTTTTTTAACCTTTCGGAAAGTCACTCAGTTGAGCAGTCAGGCCGTATTATTCTATATCTTGTCTAACATGAGGAAACAGTCCCAAAAGAAAGATATCCCAAATTAACGCCACACTTCGTTAAATAGAGACATTCTTGGTTTTCACCAAGCTAATTCGATCCAGTTCAGTTAACTCATTTTTTTTGTGCTCGGATCACAAAAGGCAGCCATGAATGAAGTAAGTTCATCATGTGTTTGACACATCAGTGTGAAACTAAAAGGCGGGCTGTGAGGGAGGGTTCCTGCCTTTAGCTTTTAGACAATACCCGATGAAAGAGGCCTCTCATTCAGAACTGGTCTCCAGCAAACTAGGCAGACTGCTGTGGATCACTGTTACAAACAGGTATAATGGGAATTAGCCAGAACTTGATTTGTCAGACACCTCTTGATTTCTAGTTGTGACTGTTCGTGTAATCCAATCTTTATCTAATATCCTCGGTCCAGCAGATGGTTCACAGGACTTCTGTATGAGCAAAAGACTGCCTACTTTGGAAAGGAAAAATACTTGTACAGGATGAAAAATTTTAACATAAGAAAAAAAAAAAAGCAATGTAAATGAAGTTTTTTTACAGAAAAAAAAAAAAGAGGTTTTACATTTGACGTAATTTACGTTTGTAAATGATATCCCTTCGACTTTTACACCATGAAATATATGGCTTATAAATTCAGATAACAGTGATGAACAGTCATGAAATACATGTTCCTTACTTTAAGCTACCTTTAAAATAAAAAAGTCTAAACATATTTCTATAACTTTTTGCATTATTCTCAGTCAACAAACATCACCATGGACAGCCAGTATGTGCAATCTAAGTAGTAGATTCTGTGATGTGAAAAAATGATGCCTGCTATGATGCTACCAAGGAAATAGTATTTGTGAGCCATATCCAAGTTCTGAACGCATTTTCAGAGAGTTTTTTCTCCCAACTTGCTGCACCAAGTACGTAAGAACATAGCAGCACTGATTTTTGAAGATATTTGCTAATAATTACATCAACCTGAGAGACCAGTGGTCCGTTTCTTAGACCTGATGCTTAGACGATGGCTGCTTTTATCAACATCAGCTGCACTTTTGCAGTTGAGGAAGAAAAAGTCTCAACAACATCATGAAATAGCTTTGCTTTTCGGTATGGTAGGACAATCACTAGGTTTATAAAATAACAGATTATTTATTGAATTTTAATTACAAAACAAATATTGCTGACAGAAGATGGCTTTTCAGCTCTGACTTAAGCTGGTGATCTCACTGGCATTTCTAAAGGACCTTTCTCCTCTAGCAGCTGCCAAGGAAGCTGGGAATACATGTTAGTCTACAGGGTTGTTTTGTTGTTTTTTAACAATCTCATCCCAGGGTCCTGTTTCCAGAATATTTCATTTAAGTATCTCTTTTTGCTTAGAAGCTTGAGGTAAGTCTAGAGATAAGAGAAGAGCTAAGGAAGCCCAATCCATAATATTCTTTCTTGCACCTCTTCATTACTTATTCAAATTTTATGACAAAAAGAATATGAAAAATACAAAAAATTATGAGCAAAGACTATATGAAAATTTCCCTTAGCTTTGAATATTTTCCTACTTTTCCTAAGTTCAACAAATCAAGAAAGTAAATAATATTAAATATTTTCTAGATATGTACCTAATTCAATAGTGTCTTGTAGTAGATGATTTGGTCAGATAAGTATGCACTGCTAATATCTGGGGGTTTGTTTTTTTCCTACAGTTTTACTATGAATCCTTCTGGCATTGAGGACCTCAGGAAAACAATGGTGAGTTATGAAGTGTTATGGAAAGCTGTCAGTAAATGCCAGCTAATTGGTGCTTGACACAATATAAGCTATTATTCTTGTTTAACCTCCTATAAGGAAATGTTTGGGGGTGTTTGTTTTTCTTTTGACATACCCAGAAAATCTAATTAGAAAATTACAGACATAATATAAATTTGGAAATAAAGAGGAGTTTTACACTCAATATGCAGTGTGCTTCTGGTGTGATATAGAGAAGAAGGGAAAAGTCAGATCTTTGCACAGAAAATGAAAACTGTTGCTTTGGGCTGTTTCAGATGACTAGAGAAGTAGCAGTCAGGTGAGGAACTCTGCATTAGGCAGCGGTGTATTAGTTGACCTAACAGGAGTTTCCTGTTGCTGTAGTTGGAGACTTCAGGACAGTCTTTAGATGGCAAATCAAAATGGAAGTAATGAACTGATGAGGGAATTAATAATACAAATAATAAATGAACAGCCTCTCAGGAAACACTAAAAATAGACATACTCGAAATTATTATTCAAAATACACTTTGACTCTAAAAGTACCTAGAATAAATTGTGTACTAAGAAAAGACCAAAGAAATCCACAGATTTCCTATGCAGTATCTTAGTTTGAAGGAAAATGTGGTCTTACTAGAATTTGTTCTGTGAATAGATGAAATCTTTAAAACTGAGTTTGTTTTCAATCTTTAAAACTTACAGAAAACAAATGTCACAAGCAAATACGGCTTTGTACTGTTTGGGTTTTGCTGGTTTATGTAAATGATTTGTAACAACATTTGATGTTATTGTAAATGCCCAAGTTTTTATAATGTAAGTAACTGGTGGGAGATGTCAGAGTATATGAAGGCTGCCTTTGATCAGATAGTAAACTGAATTCCACCAGGCGGTTACTTAATCTCTGACAAAAAGCGACATCAAAAAAATTGATTTAACTTAGCAGCTATTGTCTGTAAAGTAACCATAATTACAGTTTCTATGTGCTTGCAAATGTGCTACTGCAAATCATGTAATTTATTGCTGGTAAAAGCATCAGTTTAATTCTTTTAAGAAATAAGATGTGAATTGTTTTATTTAAAGGATTTAAAGGTGATAAAAGAAATCCTTGATGATTTTTCTTATAGAATACCCGCTATCCTAAATGTCAGTTGTAGGATTATAAGGTGGTGCTCATTTAATACAAAACACAAATTAGGAGAGGAAACTATATCTCAACCATAGTTTTGAATGAAACCATTTGAATATTTTTTTTTAAATATTCAAGATTGCTTTCTAAGGTGTTTGAAGTAATTTATTATTGGGTTCTGCAATAATAGCCCTCACCAAGTTATTATATTTCTTCCTTGTGCATCACATTTAGTAATTATGTTTGTATGCCTTCTACTCTGGTGCCAACACCTGTCTCTGAAAGAAGTGTTTAAATGGGAGCAGTAGCCAGTTGAAAGGGCAGCGTGAGCTCTTTAAGGCCTAATTAAGAACTGAAAGGAAGATGAAGTAAGTAGGACAAAAGATGTGAAAGTAGCTTAGAAGATATTCCCAGAGCAGAATTCCTCATTAGAACAATAAAGAGATGATCAGAGATTGCCAGGCCTTCATTTTATCTAACTCCATTTCCTCTGGCTGTCAGTGCATACCCCAACAGTATTTTGTAGCTGAGACAATCATTCTTTGCCTAGCTTGTTATTAAGAATCTTTTTTTCCTTAATAATTCATTATAAGATTAATTTTTTGTATTAAAATTGTAGTATCTGTTTTTGTAAAGATACAGTTGTTCCTTATACATTTAAGTATCTCTTATTTGCTCAAACTGAACATTTAAAATCTTCTTAACTTTAACAATATTTATTTCTAAGCATTAACATCCTTTTAACGAGAATTTTCTTGTGTAATTACTAGGATAGGTTATTTCCCTCCATATTGAGCATACGTATGACAAAACATCTTTAAAGCATATGTATTACACACAATTTTCCAGTAAACTTTATATAATAATTAAAGGCATCATTGCATCTTAATCCCTGTTCCTTTGCCAAATCAGAAAATTGGGCAAACCCTGTATTTTAGACATGGAAGTGTTAATGATGGCTTTTCCAAAGTGTACAGAAATGTAGTACCATAAAGAGAAAATTTTACTTCCTTCTTGTAGAAGAAAATGTGCTAAAAATATAATGACCCCAAAGTGAAGTTATTTTCTCTTCCATACTTGATGGAAATCAATTACTAACCAATTTATAAATTTCATCAAGTTACCCATTGTAATAAAGTGGGAGTTATTGATCACTTACAATCTTGTAACTTGATAAGTTTAAAATACTGAATGCAGGTACATAAACGTGGCATTAAATAACTCAAAAGTAGTGAGAAACTCTTAAAAGCAGACATTTTCAAGAGCTACTATTAGAATATAATTGATGGAGAGAAGCTGATTGATCTGTCGTGCTTCAGCCTATTTGCAGTGCACCATCACGTTTAATTAGGTTTATTTGAAAACTTTGGCCACCTGCGTATTTTAATGATTCGACATATGCCAATGTGCAAATATGGAGCTGTATGGAGGGAAAAGGCATGGAGCATGGAAAAGGAATTAATATGACTATATTATGGGGTGTGCTTCCTAGCTGTGCAAGCTTTATCATTTTTAATGACAAGTTTCTACTGTAAACAAAAGCTATCTTGTGTTCTTCTTCTGCCGTGTTGGAGGTGCAGGATTTGAGAGGTTAGATTATTTAACTTTATTAGAGGTTCCATATCTTTTAAATGTCTCCATTTCTGAATCAGATAACTTACTGCTTAGCATGTCTAACAGTGCTAATTCTTTTGTAAACCAACTCTCACAGTCTTTCTCAGTTCTACCTTTCCAGATTTTTCTTAATCTGGTTACTTAAGGTCACAGCTAATTCTTCTTCACACAAAATAAGACGTTCAGGTTTATAGTGTTATGCTCACATGTTGCCCTTTGTTAAGGGAGCTAATTTGTCCATCTCTGCTAATACCTGTACTTACTGAGTCGTCAGAAATCATTACAGAAATAATTCTGTTTTCCCTACTGCTTAATTCTGGGCCTCTTCTGCTTTAAAGCAAACAAGCAGGCAAGCAAGATCTTTTAGTAGAACACGTTTGTGTCTTAAGGGCTTTGGTGCAAACAAGGTGCAGCCTTTTACCTTCACTTGAAATTTAAAATTGAAAGTTTTATTATATGATTCAGAGGCCAAGGCCTGGAGAACCACTGATAACTAAAAGTAGAATATGAAAGACAAATGAGGGCTGATGTCATTTAGAGTTAGGAAATATTTTGCTGTGATATGCTCAAAAGGTGAGAACTCAGGAAACTTAAAGTAGGACTTGAATTCTCAGGGCTCTTTCTCTTGTTCTTCTATAATTAAGGTTACCACATAGTTGGTTTCCTTAAGTGGACCTGCTAACTGTTCTGGAGGTTACTGCTCGTACGGTCATTAACTATGTATACATCTCACTGAGAAAAATATTAATTTCTAAGGTGACAGCATAGGAAACTTATTTCGAACTGGGCAAGCTATCTCCAGTTCTCTGCTCCAGTGGGGGTGTTGGAGGCAGAAGCTCTTGAGCAAATGGACATATGTTGTCCAAGAGAAGTCGTTTCTGTCAAGAGGTGCATGAGCAATACATGAAAAGCAATAACCCATCAATTTGTTCAGAACACTGAACTGTTTAACAAAATCTGGTGGTTTTTTTATCTGTAGGATGGAAATCCTTTCGATGCCACTGCAGGATACCGTAACCTTACTTACGAAGAGGTTTTGCAGGAGCTGGTGAAACATAAAGAGCAACTTAAGAAGAAGGACACCCATATTCGTGAACTTGAGGATTACATTGATAATCTTCTTGTACGAGTAATGGAAGAAACACCTAGTATTCTCAGAGTGCCATATGAACCTTCTCGAAAAGCTGGCAAATTTTCCAAAAGCTAAGATGGTACTTTCTGCTGAATACGTTAGTGGAAGGAAATCACACTTTAACATTTTGACTTTTCATTCCTTTTTGCCTAAGAAATTCCAGGAATCAGGAGAGGACAGGACTACAACGTGGGGTTTTTTTCATTTGTTTTTTACTCTGAACACTAGCAGGGACTGCCAAAAGTTACTGTTAGATTAGCTAAATAACTTTTTCTTTTTGAAAACACCTTAGGTACAGAATACTTACACTAGAGTAAATAATACACATTAAATATGTTAATGCAGTTTGTATAATAGCTTCATATTCGCCATGTGGCAGTTTCAACTGGGAAGCCTGTGCTGTTATGAATGTTTTCTTGAGTGATTATTGGTATTATGCAAATATATTGATTCTGATATTACAGCATGCCATCAAGACCACTGTTTTCAAGCCAGTGTAGTACGCTTTACTAAACCTAAGTGTGGCTTGTTGCAATGGAATGTAGTTTGTTCTACATGTATTAGAGGAAAACAGTGATGCACAATCTTTGCAGAGTAAATGCTGTATTCTGTACAACGTGCTTTTTGTATAACAATGTGAAAAATACCATGCCATTTCAGTAGTGGCACATGCTGGAATCAATTATTTTACACTTAAATGCTGGATTTTGTGTATAATGATTGAACTTTGGTAGTAAGCTCATGACATAAGGTTGTTTTGAGGATCTTTTTGTATGAAGTTATTGCATGCCTTTTTATATGTTAAAAGTACTTTGAACAGTGTTAATAGAGTCGGAGGTAGGACTGGAGAAAAGTATGGAATGAAGATATAAATACTTTGTTCAGTCAAAGTCTACTACAGTGAAAATGTAGGAGAAATGAACAGACTGACTTAAATAGAAATGATAATTCAAAAAATATAGAACTGACTCAATTTAAGGTTGAGTTTTACATGATAGATATCTGGTTTAGGGTTTTTAAATCTTATGACACCGACGTATCTGCCTTTAGAAATAGACTATGTTGCTTAAACACATATAGAGTACTTAGAAAGGCTTTTCATTTAAAAAAAAATCTGTATTCCTTGTAAGTACTTCTAAAAGTCAGTTTTCATTGAGGCAAATGAAAGAAGAATGTAGTAAATGTCTTCCTGATCATTTAATAATTGTTTGTAAAATGACATATGAAAAAAGTATCTGTTATTCAATAAATTGGCAAAATACAGTGATGAAAGTAGAATGGGAAAATACTGTAGGAGGAGGATCCTCACAATATTAACATAACTAGATTTTAATTTCCTTCATAAGAGTCTCAGTTGGATTGTCTGTCGCTGTGAAACAGTAAGATGATATTAAAAAAAAACTAAAGAGAATATTTTAGATTTGGATTCAAGAAAACTGTCTTTTCTTCCTCCTTTTCTTTTTCTATGCCTGATCTGGTTTTATTTTTCTTACAGCACCATGTGATGGCTGTTGCTGAGGAGGAAAAAAAAGTTTGAAATTAAATTCCAATATCTTTTCATTGTTGTAAAAGATCTAAATATGTTTTCACTTTTAAAACTTCAAAAATTAGTAATATCTTGAATAATTATGATCTGGAAAAGTTGAAAAAATCTACTGAATGCTTTTGACAATGTTAGTATTGTATAACAGCACAGAATTAGTCTTGTCAGAAAAAGTATTTCTTTGTACAATTGTTCTGAGATTTACTTATTTTTGGCTTTTTCTTCTTCTTTCTTCTTTTCGTCTTTCTTCTTTTTGTTTTCTTCTCTTTTTTTAGCAGCTACCTCCCATCCCCCTAGCGCTGTGCCCCCGAAATGTATGCAGTTTGAGTGTTCCCAGCCCACCGTTGGGATCCCTTAGCGGTAGATCGTTGTGCCTGTACGGAGCCCGAGTGATTGAAGCCCTACCTAATGGTAGCGCTGAGCATTGAGAGGTTTGTAGCACAGGAACTGGCCCACTTCGTCAGGTGGTCTCTCTTTTGGCGACCTAAGGGTTTATCAAGTTCGGTACCTCATAAACCACGTGAATGTTCTTTTGACCCACTTAAGATCTAAATGACTGTAAATTTGTTGTAATATATTCGAAGTGCCAAAGGTTATGTACTAAGTTATGGTACGTTTACTGTTGGAAGTGAGGTTTTGCACTCAATTAGATTATAATTTCCTAATTAAACCAAGATGTATTTCACTTACTCAGTATTTCCATAGAAGTTCTTACACATTTTCAAGTGTTTGTCCAAAGCAAGTGGTTTTCTCATATTGTTAATGGGGAAGTCTAGTGCAATTCTTTTGAATTCCACAGTCATTTTCAAACTAACTGGTATAGGACCATATCTGCAATGATTAAATCATACACACCGATAGGGTTTAACAAGTAAACTAACCAGAGAATATGCTCCAATGACTTTTCACTTGCAAGCCAACTTATAATTATTAAAATGAAACTCTACTATATTTAGCACCTCTGAAATCACTTCTTTTAGAATGTAAATGTAGAATATCAAACTGCATAATTGACTAAAAGCAGATCATTTGACATATTTGCATACCAAGAACGATAAGCAGATTAAAGGTAGCGAAAAGATCAATTTTTGTGCATTAGTGAAGAAATTTAGTGAAGCTTTGAATGTGCTATCTAGTCTTTATCTGATCTGTAAGTGAATAAAAGCACCTTTTGTTTCTAACAGTTTGTCAAGAAAGAGGGCAGAACGACAAATGCAATTTAGGAAAAGGTAAAGTTACTAAGAGAGGCAGAATGGGGCATTTAGAACTGTGAAAATATTTTTATAGAGTTCTTATAACTAAAGATATAGCCTGCTTTTGGAGCAGTCCTGGAAATACTACATGCATGTCATTTTCTGCTTAGAAAGAAAACGTTAACATTTTTCTATATTTTGAGATTATTTTTGAAAAGCATCTTCACCCCACATGTATTTTTTGAACCACGCAGCTTTTGAATGAAAACATTTCATACAGAGTAATTGAAAACAAAGAAAGGTCTGTTTCTCCCATAGGATAAAATTATAAACTTGCTTGCAGATCATTTTAAAACCATAATAGCTTGCCACTTATGATCAGTCTTTCTTGCCCTTTACAATGTAGGGATGAAAATTTTGGACATCTCCACATTATTTTGATTTTTTTCTCTCAAAAATTGGCATAAGAGGTCATCCGTGCACACGCTATACTTTGAAATTATCCTTTGAAACAGCTCGGCTCATAGCTGTGTACTTTACTTACGTTAAAGAACAAATATCAAGGCCATACTTTAATGTTGTAGGTAACAAATTTAAACTTTCTGCCATTCAAGAATGATGTTTAATATTTATATATGTTACCTCTTGCTGCTGTATTTTAAGTTTAGCTTGGTTTTCCACCTAGTAATGAATGTAGCATTCTCCCTAGATTATACATAACTACATTTATTGCTGTTGGCTCTGTATCAAGAACTATTTGTATTCTTCCAGCTGTGAAAATGTTGCCTTGCATTTAGAAAGGTTTCATGGTTTGGGGACCTAGTGAAAATCATGCTCGTTAGGTACTAGTCTGCATTTCTTTCTGTACATAATGCCCTTTCTTAGGTGCATCTTAAAACAAACAGGACTGCTGTCTTAATATGTTTACTGCTGCACTGGAGGTTTATTTACACTTCCAGCTTTAAAGAAAAATTATTGTTCTACGTTAAGTGTGCAAAGTAAGCTCATGCTTTTTTGCTCTGTGTATCCATTACTGTTGTAGATACGATAGAGGCATTAGCTGTGGGCTTTTAAAATGGTGATATTTGAAGCATGTTCCTCTCTTTGAAGTACATGGTGAAGGATTATAGCGCTGCTGTGTTGATGATGCTAAATTTAAGGGTCTGTCAGCACTTTTGGTATGAAACCCTATTTTCAGGGATTTATGACTTCTAAATGTAGATACAGTCACTGGAAGTGTTTAATATGCAATAGGTAGCACTTTAATCTGTTTATGAAGGGTTTTGAGATTTGTTTCTGTTGAAAAAGTCATGGTGGGCATTTGCATTACCTTTCATAGTTTGTACATTGAAGAAGCCACTGTGTGTTACAAATGGTAGAGCCATTCCTATTCATCTTAGAAGCTTCCAGATGTCTTGTATTACAATGTGCTATAAAAAGCTGAAGATCCAAGTTATGTAGGAAGAAAGATAAGATCATTACTCATAACTTAAGGGTTGATTTTGTCTCGTGCAATCGATGGTAGTTTGTCTACATTTAATAATGGTACAGAATCACGACTATATGCACATGTGAGAACTATAAACTTAGAATGCATGAAAAACTTTATTTTTGTTTTCATTATTGCAACTTCAACTCCTTTAATTTGATTAAAATGTTATCTTAATATTTTAATTTCTGTTCATTAAATAAATATTGCATGTCTAACACTAATAAAGCACCACAATGCACTACCGCAATATTTCTTGAATTGTGATATTAATCTGTGTTACGGAAAGCGTGCAACTCCTAAGCTCCGCTTAAGTGTGTGTGCATAAGAACCATGCTGTTTAGATGCTCAGACCGTAGAGAGATATGTCTCCTTAAGGACAGCTCTAAATTAATGTCCCAGCTGTTTGCAGGGCAGCCAGCCATTAGGGGAAATTTCTTCAGTAGTATCCAAAACTCACTGGGGAAAAAAAAAAAGGGCATGTTCTTAAATATGCTAATATGTATGTCTGTTTTTTTTTTTATGTGACAGCTGCAGTCCCTTTAAATGCACCATTCCTCTGATTCTGTGGTTGTGTAAATATAACTAGGAGATCTTTGGCACTGCAGACCAGAACTGCATTTAGCATGCGGGCAAATACTGTGCAAAGTTTGATATGGAAAACATGATGCATATTTGTCTTCATGCTTGACAGAATAAAACCGAGCCAGAATGACAGAAAACTGGAGCACTCTCCCCCACCTCCCTGCCCCATAGGTATTTTTTTTCAATGCTCCCACAAGTTTTTCAACACTCTTCTCAGAAAAAAAAATTCTTTTGCCTGTCTTCTTTTCCTCTTCCTTGAGGCAGCAAGACACCAAAGTCCGTCACCTGACCATAGCAGGTTGTCTGGATGCTGAGATACGAAGGGTGATCCTGGCTCAGGAGAAGAACGTTGTGAGTAGTTCACCCGGTTACTTGGAGGCTTGAATTTCACTGGGATGCAGTTCCTTTCCTTGCAGTTAATTTCT